GACGGGGGGGGGGGATATTGGAATATTAAGTGGTAGAGGCATAATAAGATGTCATAATGTATACAACATTCAGTCCAAAATTCAAAATATCCCCGCTTCCTGCTAAGAAAAGTAAAATTGGATTACTACGACATCTATTTATGATGGCTTGTGGATTGTTTTCGTGAGATATTCCATCAGCGCGTGTATCCTCGTCGCCCCTAACACGCCATGGGCACAGCTCTCCATGGAAAAACAATCGATGAGCAGCACAAACAGTTAAAACAAAAACACTCGCATTGATGGTCAATTCCCATTAGTTCAGCACATGAACCAAAGCGTGTCTCTCAAGATTAATCCACGACCAAACAATAGTACAAAACAGGAAACATAGTCATACCAAATCCTCTCTACGGCAGTAGAGTTTCGAAGAAACGAATCAATGGTAATGGTTTCTTCTTCCTCCTAGCTAGTGATACTCCAAGATGCTAATTCACATGCATTGTCAATGGAATCAATGAACTTGCATTCACAATGACCACCCAGTGAAGGACTTTCCTGGCCTGAACGACTAGAGCCCACGTCACGAACTCGGCGAGATGGAGGCAGGGGCCAGGGTTGGGGCCGGGCTGCACAATGACACGATCATCGGGGATTGGTTCAGCGCCTTTGCTACCTCAGGCTAGAGCGCCTATGACCGATGGAGCATGCCGACCATGGACGACGTCTGGTAGGTGTGGACAAGGACCCTGAGCTCAACTTGCATGAATGAGAAGAACGCGCGACTATCGTCTTGATAGCTGCCATCGCCGTGTCACATCCAATGCTTCATAGTTATCATCCATGGTGGTTGAAATTGATCCAAGGCATTGACCCACATATTGTGCTTTCTTGCATGTATGGTGGTCCCATGAATCCTTGCATGCCTTCATACATTGATCATTAGATGCAATCGACATTAAACCAACGCTCTACATTATTTCCAAGTGTGTTTATTGGCCATGTCACTTAGATTGATGGTTATTGGGGCTAGGGATAGTTCAGCTAAATTAGGGGTAGTTCGGGTGACCTGCCCTATGGGTCCATTTTTTCCATTTCCTTCCATTACTTCTTGAAAGATCTTATTCTCCAAATATATGTGGAACCATATTATTTAACAACATAAATATGCATGAATGTTGATTTAATCTTCACTTTACTAAGAACCTTGATGGTCGAATGTATACCATATACTGACCATCAACATACATGAGGAGAAAACTTTTGATTTATAATACAGGTGGTCTCATATGATAGATATAAACTATTCAAACTGTTAGTGAAATTCTACAATCCCAAAGTTGTTCAATGCTTCAAACCTCATTGTACCAAGCATTCAGATTGTTGCATTCATTCGCACTAACCAAAATTGAATAATTTAGGAAGGTACTGGAATCCTACAATCCATAGTCAAACTAGCCATTTGACCTCCAGTAGCACTGCCACACAAACGGTTATCTTCCATGGTTCGCAACTCATATTTTTCATCCATGTACAATATTTTTTGAAAGAAAGTTATTGTTTATCATGGCTTGAATGAGTGATTAATTTTGTCAAAGACCGACATATATATGTGTCTGGGCTTAGTGTTGAAAATTTAGAAAAAAAATATAGACCGAGAGACTCACAGTTGCAAGTTTTCACGCAGAAGTTTCCAACGTTCACACTAAAAATCTCCCTTCCTCTTTCAACCCCCTATAATCTCGCTTATACTTCATTACTGATAGCGATGAGAAAATTCCACCTATAAAGTTTTATATCTCATTGATGGTAGCTTCAAGAAAAATGTGGTGACACATGAGAAAACAAAAAGCATATATTCCAACTGATGACAAAGCAAACAATTCCCAGCCTTTGTTATAGAGAGAGGCTAACAAAAGTTGAATAGATATAAGATAAAAAACAAAATAACATATAATAGGGAAATTATGATCTAAGATAATATCAATCTCATGATTCGGTAGATTGTTGTCGCCGGCCTTGTTTCATATGCACTAAGTCACGGCCGCCCTCCCCCAAACCCTATTCTACAGCCACCGTTGAGTGGATTCCCTAACTTCAGAACCCTAACCCTCTCTTCTTACTCCCAGCGAGTAACACGCAGATGGGTCTCGTGAGTGTAAGAAACGCGCAACCCACAGCGTGACAGAGTTTGCAATAGGCATGCCATCATTGTTTTTAGATAAAAAAATTATGTATGTTAGATCAAAATATTAATAACATGTTTTGGGTTCTACGAGGCAATATGTTAACTTTTGCACAAACTTAATGGATTAGTGGTCATTGACGGGGGAAAAGGTTGGAATATTAAGTGGTAGAGGCATAAGATGCCATAGTGTATACAACATTCAATCCAAAATTTCAAAATATCCTCGCTTCCTACTAAGAAAAGTAAAAGTGGACTACTACAGCGTCTATTTTTCTGACGGCTAGTGGATTTTTTTCGCGGGAGATTCCGTATGCGCGTGTATCCTCGTCGGCCCCCACACGCTATGGGCACAGCTCTCCATGGAAAAACAATCAACGAACATCACAAATATTTAAAACAAAAACACCCGCATCGATGGTCAATTCCCATTAGTTCGGCAAATGAACCAAACATGTCTCTCAGGATTAATCCACAGCCAAACAACAGTACAAAACAACAAAACACTAATACCAAATCCTCTCTGTGACAATAGAGTTTTGAAGAAACGAATCAATGGTAATGGTTTCTTCTTCCTCCTAGCTAGCGCAACTCCAAGATGCTAGTTCGCATGCATTGTCAAGAACATGCATTCACGATGACCGCCCGATGAAGGACTTTGTCAGCCTGAACGACCGGAGCCCGAGTCACGGCCTCGGCGAGCTGGAGGCGGGGACGGGGGTTGGGGCCAGACTGCGAGACAACGCGATCGTCGGGGACTGGTTCAGCGCCTCTGGTACCTCTGGCTAGAGCGCTTGTGACCGATGGAGCATGTCGACCATGGACGGCATGTGGTAGGTGTGGACAAGGCCCATGAGCTCGACAAGCGTGAAGGAGAAGGCGCGACTGCTGTCTCGCTAGCCGCCACCGTCGTGTCACAGCCGCCCTCCCCTAAACCCTATTCTACAACCACCGGTGAGTGGATTCCCTAACTTCAGAACCCTATCCCTCTCTTCTAACTCCCCGCGAGTAGCGCGCAGATGGGTCACGCGAGTGCAAGAAACGCGCAACCCACCGCCTGATAGAGTTTGCGATAGACATTGCATCGTTGTTGTTAGATAAAAAATTATATATGGTAGATCAAAATATTAATAACCTGTCTTGGGTTCTACAAGGCAAGATGTTAATTGTTTGCACAAACTAACTACATTAGTGGTCATTGACGGGGAAAAGGTTGAAATATTAAGTGGTGGAGGCATAAGATGCCACAGTGTATACAACATTCAGTCCAAAATTCAAAATATCCTCGCTTCCTACTAAGAAAAGTAAAAGTGGATTTCTGTGGCTTGTTTCTTATGTTTTTTTATTTTGTTTTTTCGTTCCCTGTTCTTAAGACCTTGAGTGTCCACCACTTGTGCATGGTTGCGGATAAAAAGTCAAAAACATTAAAACTCTAGGGTCGGACAAAGAAAGGGCTTGGACAGTTTTACTCAAGACGTCAGGGTGCCATGCACAAAAGAGACCCAGCCGGCGGAGGTGAGTCCGGCGGTCAAAGCCCCCGGGTGCGAGCCCAATCATTGCCACCACCGCCGGGCCCGCGCGCCGGTCCTCACCCGTCCGATCCCCCAGCCCACCCGATCGGACGGCGACGCTGTGAGGGGGAGCAGAGCGAGCACCTGCGGGGGCTGCCACCCGCGCGGGGTATCCGGGCCGCGGTCTCTCGCGATCCGGGCTCCGAACCGCAGCGCGCGTGGCGTGCACTCCGCGAGTCTCGCCATGCGGCCGGCCCAACGAGGCAACGACAGGTTCGTTCAGCTCCTCACTCTCTCATCCGGAACTGGAACAGAAGCCGGACGCTCGCAGTGGTCTTCAGCAGGAACGCTGAAATTTGGTTTCAAAGCATCGCTGTCGCCGTCCCAGAATCAACTACTACTCCTACTGCTTAGGCAGACGGAACAACGAGTCCGATCGACAATCATTAGGCTGGACCGCTGGAAGCTTCACTGATTTCTCCTACGAGAACGGCGCGGCGTCCGCGCATAGGTAGTGAGGACGGACACGAGACAGGACGAGCAAGTCGTGTGACGATCATTGCAGGGGCGGCCGTTGATTGCGAGCTGTGTGACGGGCAGGTCGCGCCGAGGACCCGCGCACCGATAGACGCTGTACGCGTGCACTGAACCTTTGTACGTACTCCTACACGGATGTGTGATGTCGCTGTCTGCCTGTAATGAGCAGTACAAGCTTTCCCCCAGTTTTTGTTTCATCGGTCGCCCTGCGTCGCCGCCGCCCGCTGGGGTCATCGTCGGTCGCAACCCGCATTGCCGCCTGGGCCACCACGAAAACAAGCTGGGCCGCCGTGCGGCGGAAACAACGCGGCAAGGAGGCCGACCGAGAGGGCCGCTCCTGTTTCTCTCCTCCCATGCATCCAAGTGTATCCAACACACAAAATGGAGGACTGGGCGTGCGGCCGTGACCTTACACATGGGTCGCGCCAGTACAGTGTACAGCTCGCAAGCGCGTTCCGGTGCCGCGTACCCGAACCGATCGAACCGTGCAGCCGCGTCCGCGCCGACAAGTTGGGTCACGGCCAGCTCGCCGCCTGACCTTCCGCCCGCCTGCCAACTCGCAAACCCACCCCATACACGCGCCGGAAACAACGCACGTAACCGCCGAAGCCGAGGTCCGAACGCCGCCCACCACCGGCATCCATCCGCCAGGTGCGGCCGTTTATATACTTGCACGTCTCCACTACATCCCACCACCACCACCTCGTCACAGCCGCTTCAACACATCCACACCGCCGCGCCGCACCGCACCGGCCGCCGCGCGCTACGACCACCAGTACACCACCGCCATGGCCGCCGCACGCTACGACGTGGAGAAGGGCGGGAGGAACGGCGGGGAGGGGAAGCAGCACCACTCGCCGCCGGTGCCGGAGCACCACCTGTACCCGCAGCGGGATGGGGAGAGGGACTGGGTGCCGTGGTTCGTGCCGCTCGTCGCCGCCGTCAACATCGTGCTGTTCGCCGTGGCCATGTACGTCAACAACTGCCCCGCCCACGCCGCCGCCTCGTCTCGCCGCGGCGGCGGCGCCTGCGTCGCCCGCGGGTTCCTCCACCGCTTCTCCTTCCAGCCGCTCAGCGAGAACCCGCTCCTCGGGCCCTCGTCGGCCACGTAAGTGCCCGAGCCGCCCCTCCGATCGATCCGTTTCCTCCTGCCTTTTCTTCAGTTACTGTTCCATATCTTCTCCATTCTTCGGTTATCAATGTGATGTAGATGAAGCAATGCTTCATACAGATCGTAATGGATTCAGATAGAGAAAAGATTCCATAACCGACTCCGCCCTACTATCTTTGATTGCTTTGCCAGCTTTACTTTGCCCAAAATAAACGTTTAAGCCCTTTTTCTCTGTTCTGTGTTTTTCATGTGAAATTCATGCGTTCCAAACCGGCCCTTTGCCCAAAATAAACGCAATTCGAAATTTTTTGGATTGATGGATGGACGGTGAACGGTTTCTCACATCAGAACACCTTCTTTAATTCCCGCAGGCTGCAGAAGCTGGGGGCACTTGTATGGGACAAAGTTGTGCAGGAGCACCAGGGATGGAGGCTCGTCACTTGCATCTGGCTGCACGCCGGTGTTGCCCACCTTCTAGTCAATATGGTCAGCCTCGTGCTCATCGGACTCAGGCTCGAGCGACAGTTTGGATACGGTATGCACAGCTGCAGGAACTTAATACCGCCCGGCTTGAGTAGCACTATATCTGATCTGGATCTGCATTATTCCCGTTTCCTTGCAGTGAGAATTGGCATCATCTACCTTGTTTCTGGCGTTGGAGGCAGCGTGCTCTCATCTCTGTTCATCAGGAACACCATCTCTGTCGGCGCTTCTGGAGCTCTGTTCGGACTCCTTGGGGCCATGCTGTCGGAGCTCTTCACCAACTGGACCATTTACTCGAACAAGGTGTATATCTTCCCTCCTCAGTCCTCACATTGCAATGTGAATCTTTCGGCACCAAATGTGGTTCCCAAATGAAATTGTAGCTCACTCAAGTAGTAATGTCCAATCTGCAGGCTGCAGCCCTGGTGACCCTCCTGGTCGTTATCGCCATCAACCTCGCCATCGGCATCCTCCCGCACGTGGACAACTTCGCGCACATCGGAGGGTTCCTCACCGGCTTCCTCCTGGGGTTCGTCTTCCTGATGCGCCCGCACTACGGCTGGATGCAGCGCTACGTCCTGCCCTCCGACGTCAAGTACACCGCCAAGAAGTACCTGGCCTATCAGTGGGCTCTGCTGGCCGTGGCTTCGGTGCTCGCTGTCGTCGGGTAAAGCATCACATATTCACATCACATGCTGGTGCCTCCTCTTTCTGAAACCTAACACGCTAGTACTAGTAGTACTCGCTCATATCTTAATGCGCCTGATGCCATGATGCTAATCTAATGCATTCTGTCAGCTTTCGTTTCACCACCCCCAAAAGAAAAAGAAAAAAAGTGTTCTGTCAGTTAGGTCGGTTTGACTGAATTTTGAACTCATGTGTTGCGCAGGTTCGCCGTTGGGCTGGGGATGCTTTTCAGACGAGTGAACGCGAATGATCACTGCGGGTGGTGCCACTACCTCAGCTGCGTTCCGACCTCCAGATGGAGCTGTGGGAAGTGAAGATTGGTGTGCGGACACAATGGACTGAAGCCAGGAAGAGAGCATGGAACCTTTTTTTTTTGGACCAGGAAGATAGATATATACAGCTCGCTCAGTCTTACTGTACATAATGTCATCAGAACGTGACTACCGGGTTTATATATGACATTATTATGTTTATCTGATTGATGATTCATTCTATTTATTCAGTGAGTTAAAATTGAAATGTTATGTTCAAAAATAAATTGAAATGCTTTCAATCTTTCACCTGTAAGCTATTTGCAAACTACTCCTAGCTCGCAGTTGTATTGTACTGTGGTTCTTTCATAATATAATAAATTACCATATTTGGGGTGTTCATTTCCTCTAGAGCTGTTTAGGGTGCAGCTGTGCTGCAATACCCTTTATGTTACCGTCCCAGCAGCAGCCACACCTTTGGCAGAAGCAAACGGGGGCCATACTTATACTTAGGCCCTATTCGCTTCTCTTATAATTCGTTTTTTTCAGTCGGAACAGTATTTTTTTCTCACTACAAATCAGCCGGAACAGTGTTTCAGCTTATTTTTTCAGCGAAACGAACGGGGCCTTAGACCTTGTTAGGCAGATGTTTTTTAAAACCTCCCTGAGAAATCTGAGAAGCCGATGAGATTCTTATGTTTATGTGAATTCATCCTTGTAGTGCAAAAGATAGCTTCTCCTCTCTGGAGATTCTTTCGTACACAACCGTTTCTTAAGAGAAGCTAGAGAAGCCAAAACCTTGTTCGCTTTAACTTATATCAGTCATGGAATAATATTTTTCTCTCATAACAAATCAGCTTTAGACAGCTTATCAACCGTGGAAATCATCAGCCGAACGGCTCATAAAACTGATGCCCTCAAAAAGACTTTCCAGACAAAGCCCCAATTCAATTAACAAAAAAAACCAGGTATTTGCTACTAAATACCGATCGCTTGATGTACGGTGTGAAAATTAATTTATTTTTGCACGGGTAAATAGGCCACATAAAAATTAGATGCCCACAAATTTAAATGAACTGCACCGAAGTTGACAATACAAATTATTTTGGTTTCAACAATTCCGTCAAAAAATGTGGTTTCAACAAAACGGGGTTTTCAGAATTAAGACGTGCTTGTTTGCGGGGCTCATGGGATGGAACAGGCCAGAATTAGGGTTTTTTTTTTAGAGAGAGAGAACAGGCCAGAATTAGATGAAGGAGGCTTCATAGGTGCAACTTCATGTGTTCTTGGCTTCTTGCCATGCTTCAACAGAGTCTAGCTCAGTTCAGGCTACACAGTGGATGCCGCGGCGGCGGTGCCGCTAGAAGAAAGAGGTCCCCTGGAGTATCTCGTTTCTGAACTTTTTTTTTGAGCAAATCTCGTTCCTGAACTGCGTTGCGATGGGCCGTTGAAACAGAGGAAACGCTCGAGTCGATTGCGAAGGAGTTTCGGTACGTGGGCTATTGGGCCGAGAGAAAGGTCAAGCCATGGAGCGTGTTAGCTAAAGGAACCTCATCAATTTTCGCAAAAATCCGCTTTTTCCTTACCAAACTCCAAAACCGGGAAAACACTTCCTCAATTTTTAAAACCGTTCATCTTACCTCCCCGGCCATGTTATAAGCGGTTTTGAAGACGGTTTTATCTTTTTATTTTTTATTTATTTCGACTGAATCTTTAAAAAATCATAGTAAATCACATAAAAATCATAAAATGGAAAATTCAATTTTGCTAGACTCCATATGAGTAGATCTATACAGTGAATATATAATATGGTATGCTTTAGTACAAAGTTTTTGCTGTGGCTTTAGATCTATATTTTTCTATAATTAAATGAAATAATTCATAGCTGCAGTTTGTATGGTCAATAAGGATGAAATTTTTATGGTGGGCTAATTATTGTATTCTTAAACCATAGTAAAAATTTTATACTCATTGGATAGTGTATAACTTAGTTATAGATTTTAGTTAGGTTTATGGTTGTTAAATATAAATAAATCTATAACTAAGCTATACATGATCGAATGAGTATGAAATTTTTACTATAGTTCAATCATACAATAATTAGCTCATCATAAAAATTTCATCACAATTGAAGTATAGAAAATTAATTACATAAAAGCATAGATCTAAAGTCACAACAAAAACTTTGTACTAAAGCATACCGTATTATATGTTTACTGTGTAGATCTACTCACGTGGAATCCAACAAAATTGGATTTTTTATTTTATGATTTTTCTGTGATTTACTATGGTTTTTCAAAAATTCCGCTGAAATAAATAAAAAAGAAAAAGACAAAATCACCTTCAAAACTGTTTATAACAGGGTAAGGAGGTAAGATGAACGGTTTTAAAAGTTGAGAGATGTGCTTTGTCCGGTTTTAGAGTTCGGGAAAGAAAACCATACTTTCGCAAAAGTTGAGGAGACTAACGTGAACTTTTCCTCAGTAAAACGTCAAATTGGGCTCGTCTGATCAGAAAGGGCCTCGGTCAGTGGCCGATATATAGCAGCGACAAGAAAATCTCGAATGCAGAGGGTGGCTCCAGGCTACTACTTCGCCATCGAGACAACGACCCTGCCAGTGCCAGGTGTAGCTCGCAGTCGCTAAGACAGCGGATCGTTGTTCGTTAGACGACGTCGAGGGTGATCGATCAGATTCATCATTGACGCGTTTACGAACTAGATATGCGGACAAGAACAAGATCAAGGGCTCAACAGATACGTGCTATGTTCGTTTGGCTGATAAGACATGACTGTTGTCTGATTTATTGTGAGAAAAAAATATTATCCGTTTGCTAAAAAAGTACGACTTATAAATCGAGCGAACGGGGAAACTATCACCTGATAAATTCGCCGGAACAGGGCGTAGCTCAGTTGCCTAATTTTCTGTGATATGAATTTATTTGTCTATCTAGATTCGAGTATTTAAATCCGCAACCGCAAAGATGCTTACTTATCATTCCTGCAAATTGTGGTAGTTTGGGCGCTAATCTTTTTAGCCATATGTTACAACAAAAATGTCAACTCGGCTCTCAAAAGTCTTCTTCGCTGACGACATCACCGCTTCGTCGTGGCGGCCTGCTGCAGCCCCTTGTCCTTGATTTGGTCGCCCACTGGCCTGGTCTGGTTTAATTGACGAAATTTTTTGCGAAATGATATTGTAGCATTTTTATTGTTATTTGATAATTAGTGTCTAATTATAATTTAATTATGTTTAAAAGATTTATCTCGTGAATTTCGTCTAAACTGTGTAATTAATTTTATTTTTTATTTATATTTAATGCTTGCATGGGTCCAAAGATTCGATCTGACGAGAAATCTTAAAAAATTTTACAAAATTTTGAGAACAGGCACTAAAGTGCAAAGCTGCCGGCTGCGCCATCCCGTTATTACACGCACACATCACGCCAAAAAGAAAATTCCGAAACCCTCCTCCGTTTAGATACTCTCTCAACGGAGTCCACTGAAAGGAAAATGTTCACACAAATCCCTGATAATGATTGAAACTCTGAAAAATAACCAAGAAGGACTAGACGGTAAATTCGCACCCCAAATGGCCAAATGTAACAGACGACCCTGAACTGCATTGGGATTGAGGACCGGGAGCCGCGAACGCGCCGTGGTGGCTCCGGCGTCCAGAGCGGCGAGCGGCGAGGCCCTGGACACAAGGCGTGGACCTACGCGACGGCATCCGTGAACCGGAGGCTGCCGCCGCCGCCGGCCTCCGCCCAAGCCACGCCGCGGTGCACCTTGCTGCCGTCCGCGGCGCCGCCTCGCAGTGCCCGCCGCGTGCGCGTCGTCGTCTTCGCCGCCGCCGTAGACGACACGGAGAGCCCGGCGTCCTCGGCGGCGTGGTGCGTCTCGAAGTCAAGCGGCTTGTCGGCGTCGTCCCCGCAGTGCGTGGCGCCGGCGGCGCTCGGCCCCAGCAGGACCCTGCTGTCCGCGGCGCCGCGGCTGTTGTGCCATATCGCCAGGCAGTAGGACGCGGAGCAGAGCGCCGCGGTGAGGAGGAAGATCAGGAGGTCCACGCGCGTGATGAGGGTGCCGCACCACCTCCTGCCGCCGGTGCCGCCGCCGCGCGTTCTCGGCGACGATCCGTCGTTCGCCATGGCCTGGAGCGGGCGAGCGGCGAGGGGGTGGAGGACACGGACACGAGGCGGAGGAACCGGGAGAGAACTGAGTCAAGTCGCCTTTGACGAAGCCTCTGGTGCATAGTAGAGGCCAAAGTTTTATATGGTATTTGTGTGTGTAGGTTGCAACAACGAAGCTGGAACCTGGAAGTTGGGGTCGATAGTCTCCATCTCCATGGATGCTCAGGACTGATGAAAGCAGCAGTATTTTTTAGGAAGGGTCGTGATTTATTTTTGCATCATAATTATACTCCAAATTGTATGTAGTAGTATCAGTATCTTATGGTTATGGATGATGATGAAATGCTGGGGTCTCCATCGTCCTCGCGAAGATCCGCCAAACTATTGCAGTACTCCTATTCGGTTATTTTGTCCTCTTTGTTTGGGCTTGTTTGACTGATAAGTCATAGCTGAAAGCTCTTTACTGGTTTGATGTGAAAGAAAAATACTATTTATTAGCTGATAAGTTATGACTTATAAGTCAAATACGACAAAACAAACAACCTGTTTGAATGAAAGAAGTGTCCAGAACGAGGTCGTGTCCTCACACAAACAATCCAGTTTTACTACTTCATTGGTCGCTCCCGACGAGCACGAGTTGGTTGGCAGTTTGCAATTGGATGTGCGGAACTGGTCCATTTTGGCGCCCGATGCGCGTTGACTAGTTGACTCGACTTTGGGTCGAGATGCAATCAGAGCGTGAAGGCCCGACCAGGAGGAACACGGCACGCATGGGCCCGATTACACTTAACCCCATAGACGGCTGGCTTATGCGAAGACCCATGCGGATTATGGAGCCCAGCCCACCAACTCGGTGTCGAAAACACTCAACAGCGTTGGTTGGGTTGGGCCTAAGTCCAGAGAAACTTTAATTTGGAGAGTATCCCAATTAACAA